GGATGGTCTCAATCTCCTGACCTTGTGATCCGCACGTCTCGGCCTCCCAAAGTGCTGGGATTACAGGCATGAGCCACCGCACCCGGTCTCAGGGCGTTATCTTGTTAGTTGTATATGTCAGCATCCCGCAGGAGCTTTTACCTTTTATGGATGTCAACTTTGAGATTCTGGTGTGAGCCACAGACCTCTTCCTCTGCCTGCAAGCACACCCACCAACAACCACGTGTTGCCTGGTTTAGAGAACTCCTGAGCCTGCAGCCGCGCCCACCTACAGGAGGAGTGAAGCCCAGACCAGGGACAGGGTCAGAGCTGCGGTCACTCATCCAGGGGTGGACAACTCTGCATTCTTGGGAGGGACCAGATACCCTCTTCTCTTGGAAGACCAAGCCCAGAGCCTAGGTCATCTTTGAACGCAAATAGACTTTGTGGTCCTAGGGAATGAGAGCCCCACTCACCAGGGGAAGAAATTGGGGATCTTGGTCCTGAGTTTGTGGGGCAGACTTTTGCCATTTTCTTCCCCATTTCCCTGCCATGCCCTATTTGAAGAGAAGTCACTTCCATTTCAGTGAACCAAGATCGAGCCACTGCACTCCAACCAGGGCAACAGAGTGAGACTCTGTCTCAAGGAAAAAGAAAAAAAAAAAAAAAAAGAGTTCACTTCAAAACTTCCCTGTTGAAACAGTTGACCCTTGAGAAACAGGGTTTAAACCGTGTGGGTCACTTACTTACACATGGATTTTCTTTCACTTCTGCCACCCCTTAGACAGCAAGACCAACCCCTCCTCCTCTCCTCCCACCTCCTCCTCCTCAGCCTACTCAATGCAAAAATGAGGAGAAGAACCTCTATGATGAGCCACTTAATGAATAGTAAACACATTTTCCTTATGATTGCTTTCCTCTAGCTTACTTTACTATAAGAATACACTTTACAATACATATAACACACAAAATGTGTGTTAACCGACTATCTGCGTGATCACTGAGGCTTCCACGCAAGAATAGGTTATAAGTAAATTCCTTTTGGCTACTCAAAAGTTATTGTCCAAATTTCAACTGTGTGGCCGGATTGGTGCCCTTAATCTCTGCATTGTTCACGGGTCAATTGTGTTGCTTAAGGGGTGGTCATTGGAACACTCCTTAGGGGCTATTTTTTTTGTTTAAAAAAGTTTTTGCCACAATGGGCCACTCATTTAAGGCCCTAGGATTCCTCACTTCTGAGCTCCTGCTGCCATAGACCAAGTGCTGATCATTTTTGTTGCTCAACATACTTGTCGCTTCCATCCATCACAGGACCCACTCTGACCTTCCAGGAGCTGCTCCTTCCACTGCCTGTGATCTTGAGAGTCAGCACGTCCAGTCAGGCCAAGTAGCGATATCAGTCCTCTCTTCTGCCCCAGTTCATGGATGGGCACAGGATGCGGGTGGTGGGGGTGGTCCACCCGGTTCCTGCTAATCCCACTGGATCATCAGGTGGGAAGAGTCAGCTTGCATAGTGAAACCAAAGAGCTGCGAGATGGAGAGTGAGAGTGAGAAACTAAGAGAGTGAGACACACACACACACGCAGAGAGAGAGAGAGAGAGAGAGAGAAAGTCAGAGAAGCAGAGACACAGAGAGACATAGAAAGATGGAGAAAGAGATGAGGGGAAGAGAGAAACAGAGACACACACAGAGTCTCAAAAAGAGACAAAGAGAGACAGAGCAACCAGGAGAGAGACACAGAGAGGGAGAAACAGAGACAGACCAAGTGAGAGGCAGAGAGAGATGGAAAGAGAGATGAGGAGAGGGATGGAAAGAGAGATGGGGAGAGGGATGGAAAGAGAGAAGCAAAAGCACAACATTCCTTGAATTGCTTCTCCCTGAAGTCACCATTCTATTTCTGCACTTCCAGTTGCCACCAAGAATCTTTCTAAGTCACCTGTCCTCCTTCCTTCCCCATCTTCCTCAGGCACTCTTACTAAAGCCTCCTGAAATCTGCCTTCCCAATGACAACTCCTCCTTGAAATGTCGCCACTGACTTCCAAACAACCAGCAAATAAAAAAGGTTTTTAAAACAATTACTTCCACTAGTTTCTCAGTTTTACTAAAGGTTATGGTGCTGTTTCTTAATACCTCTCTCGAAAATCTTTCTCTTTGTTTTTTATTTCTTTGCATGAATTCACATGAAAATAGAGCACAACATATTATAGTGAATATAGACTATAAATGATGTTTTGTGTATACCTTATTATTAGTGATAAACACTGTATAAGTAATTTATTCTTGTCATTTCTTTCTTACTATGGTTTCAAAGTGTCCCCCAAATTTCAAGTGTTGGAAACTGAATCCCCCATACAGTAGGGTTGAGGGGAGGGATCTTTAAGGGGTGATCAGTGTTAGGCAGGGACCCGGACCCGACATGGTGGCGCCACTCGGCGTAGCAGGCCCTTTGTTTCGAGACTTCCCTCCTCTTTGAACACACCCTCAGACTTAGGTACATCAGAGGTTCCAGCTGGGCAGCCACACTTACCCATGACCTGCAGCTCACCTGCATTCCACACGTTCGTAAACAGCAGTTTTGGTTAACAGTTTCCAAAGACCCCTTCCTCGTGACCCTTACTCAACTCCTGTTCTAGTAGTTTCAAGACCCCCCAGGCCCTGTTTGCACAACCAGCTTCCCTACCTCTCAGGCTATAAGAAGACCCTATCCTCCTCCCTCAGCGTGACTTTCTGGACCCACACCTTTGGACCAAGGAACCTCGCCCGCAAGCCCTAATAAAAGCTATTCTCACTGTCATTTGCCTTATGTCTTCATTCCCGGTTCAGCTCCAGCCTCAGTTTACCTTTACAATCAGGTCATGAGGGTTTCACCCTCGTGAGTGGACTAATGCTGTTATTGAGGGAGTGGGTTCCTTATCACAAGAGTTGGTCTGTTACAAAAGTGAGTTTGACCCTCTTACTCCTCCATGCTCTTTTGCTCCTCCACCTTCCTGTGGGATGACACAGCACAAAGGTCATTGACAGATGCCCACCACCCTTAACTTGCACTTCCCACTTCCAGGACTGTGAGAAGTGAATCTCTGTTTTTGTAAATTACCCAGTCTCAGGCACTCTGTTAAGAGAAGCAGAAAACAGGCTAAGAAAAAATGTTTTAGGATCCTCTTCCCTCACAGTTGCAGTGAGAAGTTTATAGCTTTGTTTTGCGTTGTGGAAGATAAAATGCTAAATAGTAGACATAATTTTGAAGGTTTCTCCTTCCATCCAAATATTTGATTCATTTTAAAATTTCTATTACACTGAGTTGTTGACTGTCATGTACGTCCATGTGAAGAGACCACCAAACAGGCTTTATGTGAGCAATAAAGCTTTTTAATCACCTGGGTGCAGGCGGACTGAGTCTAAAAAGAGAGTCAGCGATGGGAGATAAGAGTGGGGCCATTTTATAGGATTTGGGTAGGTAAAGGAAAATTATAGTCAAAGGGGTGTTGTTCTCTGGTGGGCAGGAGTAGGGGTCACAAGGTGCTCAGTAGGGAAGCTTTTTGAGCCAGGATGAGCCAGGAAAAGGAATTTCACCAAATAATATCATCGCTTAAGGTAAGGACCAGCCATTTTCTTCTTTTGTAGTGGAATGTCATCAGTTAAGGCGAGGCAGGGTATTTGCACTTCTTTTGTGATTCTTCAGTTACTTCAGGCCATCTGGGCATATACGTGCAAGTCACAGGGGGTGTGATGGCATGGCTTGGGCTCAGAGGCCTGACATTGACCTTTGCTTCTGATGCCTCAGAGATGTCTGGAAGAAAACCACGGAGGAAACCTCAAGTACCATGTAGTCTGTCTTATCTAAGTGCCCTCTGGACTTCGAGAAGGATCTTTCTGTGAAGCAGAGAGCTAACAATGTAGCCCAGCTCAAGACACTTTTCTAGAAAAGCTTTCAGAACATAGCCATTCCTGGGGAGCATCACAGCTTTTAGACTTCACAACAGGCACCAGAGAGCAGTCAGAAGGCCATGGAATATTTTGCCTGAATTCCTTCCAGCATTGTGTTCCAGGAACCTTGAAACTCCCACCCCCTCCACATGGGTCTTAGGTTCCTCTTTCCAAACCCAAACAGTGTTTTTAAACAATCCCCAGGAAGATGGTGTCTTATCATTATATATAATTGAATTGTAAATCTTCTAAATTCAGAAAGAAAAAGTATGGAAATAATTCAGAAGTCCTTGAGTTTTTAGCGAGAAGACTCTGCAGTGAGGGGGAGACTCTTTTTATCCTGCGAATTCCTGACGTGCTTCTTCCACACACGATCCTTGCTTGTGTCCTCTCCAAGCCTGTCTGTGAATAACCCACTCATCCTTCCAAGCTCAACTAAAACGCCATGTGACAGAAACAGTTGGTTCAACATCCATTTCTTCTTCCTCTTCTGACCAAGGCTCTGCACTAAATGCTTCATTCCCCAGCTGTCTCTGTGCAACCATGTGGCCATGTGGGTCCATTCTGGCCCATGTGATTTAAGTAGAATTGTTGAGTAGCACATCCAAAAGGACTTCTTAAAAGGAGCCAAACTACTGAGTGTCGTGTGTTTTTTTTTGTTTTTTTTTTTCTTTTTCCTGCTGCTTTGAATGCAGCTCTGATTGTAGGAACAAAGCTGCTATCTTGGGGCATGAGGTGATCTAGAAGATACAACCACCTTCAGTCAAAGTGTCTGAGGGAATGATAGGAGAAGCTGGGCTCTCTGATAGATCACAGATCCAGTGAACAGGGGAGGATTGCCTGCCTTCAGATTCCTTTCATGTGAAAAGACAGACCTTTATATGTGTGAGCCTCTGTTAGCTTGAGTCTTCTGCTTTATGCAGCCAAACTTAACCGTAACTGCCACACACCATCTACGTATAGTTTATGATGCTCTCTCTAATCTCTTAGGTAATTATGTCCTCTCAGAAACCTATGGAGAGCTGAAGGGATTTTAGGATCATGGAATCCACCCTCCTCCTTTGGTATAAGAGTACAAAGGCCAGAGAGCTGTGCGATGGCTGAGGCATCCGATTGTAAACCAAAAGGTACCTGAGACTGATCTCAATCCATTTAAAAGTTAATTCTGCCAAGGTTAAGGCCATGCTTGGAAGAAAAAAAAACTGAATCACAGAAATAGTCTGTGGTCTGTGCCTTCCTCCCAAGATGATTTTGAGGTCTTCAGTAGTTAAAGGGGAAGGGTGGGCCGAAGAGGAAGGGTGTGCTGGAGGGAAGGGTGGGCTGGAAGGGAAAGGTGGGCTGGAGGGGAAAGGTGGGCTGGAGGAAAAGGGTGAGCTGGAGGGGAGAGAGGGAACCTGTGGTCTTCCTCAGGTTGCAAGAGAAAGAGAGCAGATGGGGAATGATTAGTTATGTCTTCATCTCACATGTGGTAAATCAGTCCTTTACATAAGATAAGATGAACATAGACCAGCTTCCTGTGGAGATATGTAACCTTTATCTGTAGCTATCTGCTTAGGAACAAAAGGAAAGGCACTTTCTTGCATGATTCAGCTTCCAGCTTAATGTTTTTTTTTTCTTTTTTTGTTGTGAATTGGGGTCCTGAGGCTTTATTTCTCCCTGCATACTATATTGTATGTGAAAATTGTTGTTCAGGACCTAAAGCTGTTTACTTACTCCAGCTACATCCCTTAGCTCAATTTCCATTTGGAGCGGCTTCTGGAAGGCTGGAATTGAAATCCACCAGTGCCCATTTCAAGGTGTTCCCAACATCACCTGGAAAAAAGGAGCCCGGATACGCTTCCCTGTGGATGCAGGTCAGTCATCATAATGCACAGAAACAGCCTTGACCTCAGCCTGGAGCCATTGTCTTGAAAGAGGATTCTTCTCAGCTGGAGCCTGAGACTGATCCCTGAGAAGCGGCCGCTCCATCCCTGAACCCTTCCTGCTTGTGTCTCCTTACTTCCTAGTGATGATGGCATTCAGGCTCAGAATGCTGCAGGCCTATCCCACTGGAAGCTGTCGAGGTGCCTCCTGCTACACAGGACGCCCGACACGGCAGCAGCATCAAGGGACCAGCAGGGAAGAGGTTGCAGCGATTTGGAGGAACGGCCTGAAATCACCTGGAGCCTGGTGGCAGATGGTCCCACCTCCTCCCCAATATTAGGTCCCAGAGAAATGACAATATGAGCACCTCATGTCATCATTATTAGCAGAGTCTTTTTATTCTTTCCTTAAATTTTGCCATTAAATTGAGCTCTATAATAGGCCCATTTTTCTTTTCTTTTCTTTTCTTTTTTTTTTTTTTTTTTTTTTTAGACACAGTCTTGCTCTGTTGCCCAGGCTGGAGTGCAGTGAGGCGATCTCAACTCACTGCAAGCTCCGTCTCCTGGGTTCACGTCATTCTCTGCCTCAGCCTCCTGAGTAGCTGGAACTACAGGCGTCCGCCACCATGCCTAGCTAATTTTTTGTATTTTTAGTAGAGACGGGGTTTCACCGTGTTAGCCAGGATGGTCTCGATCTCCTGACCCCGTGATCCTCCTGCCTCGGCCTCCCAAAGTGCTGGGATTACAGGCGTGAGCCACTCCACTAGGCCTATAGGCCCATTTTCTGCTTTTAATGCCACCAATACATGAAATTCCAGAGCTGCTTCTGTAAAAAAAATTTCATTTTCATTATTTTATTATTCATTACATTAATTCTATTATTTTATTCTCTTTGTGTTTTTTAGAAGAATTTCAGCTGCCTTGTGGCTGCAGAAGGAGAGAAGGAGCCTCTCCAAAAAAGGGTTTCATGAAAGCCCTGAGGCAAGATACTCACTTCAGAGGGTTCAGAACAAGGACACTCACTTTGTTCTGTGCGGTGTGGAGACACGGGTGAGCGTTCCTCAGTAGCACCAACTGGTTCTCTCTTGTCCTCAGCTGCCAGTGCCCTGGGGCATGTCATTTGGACAGAACACTTTTCCATGTCCTGCCATCCGTTCCACGGAGGCAGGAGAAAGGGGTCTGGAGGCAGGAACATAAGGCCGATTCACCTGACTTCGGAGAACGAAATCAAATGGAAACTCTTGGGCTATGACAGGAAATATCCTCTCCATTTACACAGGGCATACACCGAGTATATGACTTTGTAATTGTACTTCCTCCTCTTCATTTACATAGGGTGCACACCAAGTAACCAATGGAAACCTCTAGAGGGGATTTGAAGCCCAGAAGCTTCAGTAACGGGCTCCCTGTGCTCAGGCGCTCCCACCCTGTGGAGTGTGCTTTCATTTTCCGTCAATCTCTGCTTTGCTGCTTCATTCTTTCCTTGCTCCATTTTTGCGTTGTGTCCAATTCTTGGTTCAAGGCACCAAGAACCGGGACACCTTTAACCAGTAACATTATCTTAATATCATGTTTTAAAACTGAATTCTGTTTTTCATCTGTTCACCTAGTTTTAGAAAATGACAATGAAATACAACTTGGAACTTACCACAGCTTAATACGAGGGTCACTATGAGCTATACAACAGGTTTGATGTTTAAAAGTTTGCAACACTTTTTATTGCTCTTTCATTTACAAACTACAGTAAATATTTTATTTTTTATGTTTAATTATGAAATATGTGACATATAAGAGTCTATAAATTTGGGTGGGCATGGTGCCTCATGCCTGTAATCCCAGCACTTTCGGAGACTGAGGCGGGTGGATCATTTGAGGTCAGGTGTTCAAGACCAGCCTGGCCAACATGGTGAAACCCGTCTCCACTAAAAAAATACAAAACATTGGCTGAGCATCATGGCAGGTACCTGTGATCCCAGCTACTCGGGAGGCTGAGGTGGGAGAGTTGTTTGAACCCAGGAGAGAGAAGTTGCAGTGAGCTGAGATCATGCCATTACACTCTAGCCTGGGCTACATAAGCAAAACTCTGCCTCAAAAACCAACAAACAAACAAACTGAATGCATAATCCGATAGATTAATAATTGCACTGATGTCATCATCCATTAGCATCAACTGTCTTGAAAGGCTACAATATGCTCTTCCTTGATCACCTGGCTCTCCCTTCTTCACCCAGACATAGGACTAATGTGTTAATGTTTGTCTTGCTTTTCATAAGGTTTATCATTTCTGTGTATATTATTAAGCAATGCCATATGTTATGGTTTGTGAACTGTATATGGAATAGCAGTGTATTTTTCAGTAATTTCCTTTGTTCACTGTAATTTTTCATTGTTGATGCTTCTAACTGCAGTTCATTTTCACAGCTGTATCATATTCCACAATGTGACTATGCCAGCTTTTTCCTTGATAGAGGTCTGTTTGGATGGCTTTCAGGTGTTTTCTATTTCTGCAATCACTACCTAAATATTCTTGTCCCGTACGTTTTCTCTTGGAGAAGACAGTCCAAGGGCATTTCTGGGGCAGACATGCCTGAGAAGGCAAGTGTGAGGCCACAGAGGGGCGTGTCTAGCTTTTTATGAAATACAATCTCTTAACAGGAGCAACAGCAGTGGATACTTTGCCAGCAGTTGATCTTTTCCACCTTTTGGATTTTATGGCTTTGCTGAATGTGTTTCTTGAATTATTGGATGTATCCACAGTACGTTGTTGACTTGTTTTGTAACTTTTTGCACGCGGACTTATCTTCCTTGGAATTTTATGTGGGGAGCTATTTTGAGGACAGGGTTGTATTGTTTCAGCAAAGATGTTCACTCTCATGGGGTAGAGGTGAAGTGAGCAGCCGCCTGGTGCCACGTCGATTTGACCCATGCTCTCCAGGTCTTCCAGCATGAACTCCTGGAGGACTGTTTCTCATCGGTTCTCAGGGTCAGTGGTTTTCCCTCCACCCAGCACCAATGCAAGGACAGCTGCTCTCCTTGCTCCTCCTGCTCTGAGGTGGGCTTTTATTTAAGCCTAAGATGTCAGATTTCTGACCTCATTTTGGAGAGACATCCAGTTTTGTTTCTGATGCCCCATCCTCTGTGCAACTGTCTAAACAGAAAAAAAAATTCCACTTGGTTCCTGCCAATTCTTTATTGACTGCTGTGGATTCCATCCTTCAATGCCAGCTCAGTAATGCACTTACAAAGATGCATTTTTGTAGGTTTTACCCACATCTCAGTTTTTGCTGGGGAAGCTATTTAGTATCCCTTATGTTGAAAGTTGGAAGTGCCTGGCAACACCATAGGTGAGAGAGCTGCTCTTACCCGTTTTCATCATCTTCCTGCTGGGTCCAGGCCTTCTTTTCCTCTGTGATTAAGCTGCTACAATGGGCCGGGTACAGTGGCTCATGCCTGTAATCTTAGCACTTTAGGAGGGCAAGGTGGGTGAATCACCCGAGGCCAGGGGTTCAAGACCAACCTTGAAAACATGGTGAAACTCCGTCTCTACTAAAAGTACAAAAAGTTAGCCCCGCATGGGGGTGCATGCCTGTAATCTCCGGTATTCCGGAGGCTGAGGCAGGAGAATTGCTTGAACCAGGACCCCGGCAGGTGGAGGTTGCAGTGAGCCGAGATCATACCACTGCACTCCCAGCTTGGGCTACAGAGTGAGACTCTGTCTCAATAAAAAATTAAATAAATGAAAAAAATATATATATGTATATATATATATATTATTTGAAGTATTATCCAATGAGAGCAAGTGTTCCGGAAGACCTCATTTAAATACAGAATCTGAATGGGGGTCCATGTCACACCCTGCCATTTTTTCATCTTTGCAGCTGGGCTTTTCTCCTTTTCTCTGCTGGACTGTGCTGTTTCCCACAAGGTGTTCAGAGGTTCTGCCCTGAATCGTGCAACCAGGAGATGAGAAGCACAGAGTGACACCAGCAGGAGAACATAAAGATGCGCTGACAGTTTGTCCTCCTCCTGCAGAGTCCAGAGCAGTGCACTCCTACCGCTGGTGCCCTAGCTAAGCCTGGGGGCCAGCATGTCTGATGATAGTCTGGGAGTGCTGCAGTCAGGGTCCCACAATGGGCACCCAGCCTGTGCCCTTGCACTCTGCACGAGCGTGACCATTGTCCTTCAGAGCCCGTGGGTACAGATCAATGCATCCTACCAGAATGCATGTGAGGAAGGACCATGTGAGTCCCAGGAAAGAGCTGAGGCCCTGCAGGGGAGGTGGCCAGGACCGAGACCTGATGCCTGTCTGGAGAATCGTCTGTGGGTGTGAGTGGCACTGTGGGGTCCAGTGCCCGGGTTCTGCTTCTCCCTCTCCTCAAAGATCAGGGCCTGAGCAGGGGCTGACATGTGTGTGGCACCTGGAACAGCAGGGCCACCACCCATGTGTGAAGCCATCATGGGGACCTGAACACGGTGTCATGTGCAGACCCACCCATCCATTGGCCCCAATTCCTGGCCAGCTTCTGCCAAGGTGAGAGGATGGAATTTGGAAGGTGGGTGTAAGCTGAAGCCTGTCCCCCAGTAGCTGACATACAGTGGTGACACTCTCTGTGTGGGGGAAAGAAAGAGAGATCAGACTGTTACTGTGTCTATGGAGAAAGACGAAGACACAAGAAAGTCCATTTTGATCTGTACTAGGAAAAAGTATTCTGCCTTGAGATGCTGTTAATCTGTCACCCTACACCCAACCCTGTGATCACAGAAGCAGGTGCTGTATTGACTCAAGGTTGAATGGATTTAGGGCTGTGCAGGACGTGCCTTAGTCAAAATGTGTTTACACCTACTGGGCTCCAGGCTGCCAGCTGCCTGCCCAGGGTCTGAATGTCCTACTGTGACCTGTTTCCTCACCTCACCCAGAGGACAGATAGGGAAGGCTTGTTTTGAAGATTAGGCAGTGTAATCCTAGTCAGCCCTCATTATTGTCTATCCTCCAGGTCTTTTTGATTTCTTTTTTCTCTTCTTTGTTATGAAACTCTGGAGAACTGTCCTCCAGCCTGTCTTCAGCTGGGAGGTGGAAAGGCTGGACCTTGCCCTTGACTTCAGGGCCCCTTCTGGGTGCCCCTCCTCCTGGGTTTTTAAAAGCATATACTTAGCAACATACCCTGTACCTGAGAGAGCTGCAGAGAACCTCCTGCGTGTCCAACCAGAACACTTTGTTCCCTGACCCCAGGCCCTCATCATACCCCAAAGCCCAAATACTTTCAGGTGGCCAACTTCACACAAGAGTCTGAACTCAATGCTTGTTTT